GTTCTCTAAATGGGTAGTGGGAAGTTGCAGTAGGGTCAAGTTTTGTCTGAGGTTTCTTGAAGTGTGGAGGCAGTTGTGATTGGTTTCTTATCAAATTTTTGTGATATTGTCGTATTAATAGCTTTTAAGACCATATTTAATTGTCTTTACTACAGTATAATTTATTTTTCTTATGTGTATTTGTATATTTTACATAGGTAATGCCATTGAATGTTTGAAAAAGCTATTATCAGTAACTAATTAATGAAGAATAATTATTTGGTTATCTCTCTCTCTCCTTCTCCTTCTGCAATAACGAAATAATTGCAGGAGTCTAGACAATTATTATACATTCGACCGGAAATATGGCTGATGTTGCAGTACAAATGAAGGACGAAGAGCAGAAGAAGGTTTTCTTTTTAATGTTTGAATTGCGGAAGTTTAAATTCCTTAATTTATAGATTATTAAGATTGTTAACCTGGTAAAAGCTTGAGTATTTTACAATAGATATTAAAATTATATTGAATACGATATTTTTTCTATAACTGAAATATTACTGTTGAGGTAGTCAGATGTGAAAGAAAAAAAACGATATATTTGAATAAGGTATCCAGTTTTACTTCTTAATTTTATTTGTCGTAAAAATTGTGGTTGATTGATACTATAAACGGAAAATGCAAATTATCATTTGCTAATAATCACGAGATAGCGTAAATGCGGAAAATAGAATTAAGTCCAAAAAACAATTTGGATTGTTTTGAGTTATTTTTTCTTGTCGCTGCTAACCTCTTTCTTATTATCACTAGCTGTTAGAAGTTTATTTATCGCATCATTTACAACATATTGGTTCAGGTAGCAACAGATGACACGTCTTCTGGTTCTTCTGGAAATGAGGCTGGTGATGAAAACGAGCTGAAGGGTTCGGATAATGAAAATGATGAAAATGAGGGCGAAGTTACGGAAGCTCAGAAGAAGGTTGCAGAAGCTGCCGGATTAGCTGATCAGGTCTTTTTTTTTTTTGTTTTGCACATTGCCGTTATAGTTTAGTCTACTCATTCCCTACTCATTTGTTTCGAAATATCCAGTTTAGAATGAAAAATTAAGATCTATTTATTTGGTTTCCATATGTTTTTGTAGGTGTCTGGGGACAAAATGAGCAAGCAGTCACGATCAGAAAAGAAGGCGCGTAAATTGTTCAGCAAATTGGGTCTGAAACCGGTCCACAATGTCTCTCGTGTTTGCATTCGAAAATCAAAAAATATTCTTTTTGTTATAAATAAACCGGATGTGTACAAGAGCCCCGGCTCCGATACCTATATTGTTTTTGGTGAAGCTAAGGTGTTATTTAAAAATTCGGAAGATTTACTTTAAGATGATTTTTAATCTCTATTTTTAAATTTGATTCCATAATTATTCCACATGACTGCCAAGTGTGCTTTAGCTATGAAATAGTACAGATTTGATCTGCATACTTTCTAAGCTTCCATAATTGTACAGCTGACAATATTCTGATTAATGTCGCATGTCCTTTATTTTCAATTTTATTTTTTTTAAAGCTGTTTCAAATACTAGGTCTGAAACCATTATTCATACCGTTATGATTTAAATTTTTCACAGCTCATGATTTCTAGATTGAAGATTTAAGTGAACATGCGCGATTTGCTGCGGCAGAAAGGCTAAAGCCAAATGATACACAATTAGGTGGTCAAGGTGGACGTATGAATGTTACTCGAGCCCAACAAGAAGAAGAAAGTGGTGATGATGGTGAAGTCGATGCAACTGGTATTGAAGAGAAAGATATTGAACTAGTATGTTTTTTGCTATTCATTGAAAACTAAATTATCGAGTACGTCAGACAGGGCGGTTTAAAGGTTCCTATTCCGATTCGTAAGTACGAATTCTATTCGAAAATTTATGTATGAGTGAGACTGCCTATTCATTCAGCTTAGCGAATGGTCCTGTAGTTTTACATTGATACTATTCATAAAAGTATCTTCTTTTCTTCACACTCAGAAAAATGGAGGTGAATATAGCCAAGAATGCATTTGCATTCGTTTGAATGAAATACTGATTTAAAAAAATTTTTGATTCTTTTTCGGCTTAAACATTGTTTCTGTTATTTTCAGGTATGTTCCCAAGCCAATGTATCACGTAATCGAGCTATCAAAGCATTGAAGGAAGCTAACAATGATATTGTCAATGCGATAATGGAGCTAACCATGTAGTATGGTATTGTTCGGGTATTGTATTGATGAAAATATAAATCGATAATTAATGTCCTTCTATGCCCATGCTTTTCTAAACTATACTTTCCAATCTGAAAATAAAATCTCAATGAATTCCTCCTTTTACTTCTTCAAGATACTTAAAAAATTATAGAAAAAAAAAAAACGTCACACTCCCATTTAGTAATTTTTTTCCTACCCATTTGGAGAAATCCCTCAATTATACTGTTGATTTTGAGATTATGCGTGACCAAGTTAGGATTAATTGGTCACTAACCATTACCATTGCAGTTGCAAACAGTAGCATTAGCATACCGACCAGGCTTTAAAAAAATCGTAGACGCGTTCCAAAATCACGCAATTTGATTTTCATTCGAAAAAAAGAGAAATACACCCGAGGTCGAAATCCGCACAGCAGGGAAGAAATCAGTTGTATTGAGAAAAATCAATGCAAGACAAACGTTTAATTCCCAACTTTCATTAAAATGTTAAACACAGAAGTCTTCATATGCATTAAAGATTCCTATTGAAATTTCATCTAAATGAATACAGTCCATGAAATTCCGTGCTAGTAAAGACCTTCCTTTCTAATATCACAAGTCCCATGGACTTGTGTCGTCGGACTTGTCGCAGTTCTTACCCTAAACGTTATGGCATAATGTGCCCTCCGATTTTAACGTTCGATATGGAACCTGACAACAAGCCGTAGTTCACTTCCCATGAACATCATGCATCCCGACTGTGAAAACGTGGTCTTACCATACTAGGCTATAAAAATGTGAAACAAAGAGCTTTGTCTATGCTTAACTTTTATAACAACAAATATAGAACAAAAAAAGGAAAGATTTAATAGTCGCCACGAGCCAAAATACGACGCTGCTTTTTTTTGGATTCTTTCTTCACTTTACCAATATCATCTGTTGGCTTTGTCACCACTTCCTCTTTCTCTGACAAAATTACTTCCACATGGCATGGCGATGACATATACGCTGGAAATCTTTTATAAGAACTCGACAAATTTACTAAGCATGAATCTCAGTCATTTTGTAATTTGTTAAACTGAATCAGTTACAAAAGCCGCTCTCTAACTGGAGTAACATATTAGAGTATTAAAGTAAGTAGCAATTTTGTTGAATTTAATCAGCCATTGTCATTTCAAAACTCGACATCATTTTAGAGCAGTCAAAGCGCAGCGAATAAACATTGGATAACATGAAATACGAAATTAATTACTGGAGGGAGAATATTAAAAACATTCAATACTATTCTATTTTTTAAAAAGGAAAATGACTGAAACAGCAAGGAAAAAGAGAATTTAATCGTACAAATTTCATTTTTTTTTTTGGAAGTCCAGATTTGCATAACTAGTCCCAAAAACACCTTTACTACCAACTAGCCCATAACTACGAAAGGCCATTTTGAGATTTTTTGATAAATATATCAACCGAATTCCATAATAAATTAAAGTTGTTGAAATCTAAGAAAACAAAAGCTAACGATTGATTCTGCCATGGGCACGATATGTTCGTCGACGTACTTTTGGAGCACGCTGCACCTGAATGTGCTCAATTACAAGATGGTCTGTATCCAATCCTTTATACTCAGCATTACTTTCCGCATTTCTAGAAAGAAATAATTACAAACAAGAGTAAAGACTGCACAACAATTTTCCATATGGAAATGTTGATATAGGTAGTATATTTTTCCCTGGTAATATATTGTAATCTAACTCTCGGAGTAAATCTACATCACCAAGCTTGATGATTTTATAATTTGATTCTCACTCAAAAGCACCATTCACCCGCATAGCTAAATAATTTGTGAATTACAATCTGTCACTGGAGTATATAAACTTGCTGAAAATATTTCAAAAAAAAAAAAAAAAAAAAACACTGAAAAAGATCTAAAAAACTACTAACCTCAAAAGTTGCAATAAAAATTCAGCTGATTTCTTAGGCCATCTACCTTGCGTATGTCCCCAGGCTTTCGCTTGTGCCTTACGACCAACACGATGATTAAATTTCCGGAATGGAACAATCTCTTTCTTCTCTTTCACATTCTCCAGGAAACGTATTGCACGTTTTAGGGGCATATGTTTGATAGCTTGAGCCGTTTCATGTGTATTCTTGAAATGTACTCGAAGATCGGAACCACGTGCTTTGCACGACTTTGTGCTATTTTCTGGTTGCTTCGAGTAATGTATCTTTCCCATTTCCACTAAATATAACCCACTTCACTTACCTATAATAAATCATTCTTTATAAGATGATAATGAGAAAAAAAAACCAGAAATATTAATAATACATCGTCGGACATATAAATTGAAGGAATGAAGTCCGACTGCAAAATGTAACTATTCGGAAAGCATCCTTGATTTGACTACAAAAGAAAAAGAGCATATACTATGACAAGCTGGCAATGAAATCGGAAAACTCTTCCACCACTTAAATATACACCAGCCTATACTTCTTGCATGTTTATCACTCTGCTAGCCCGGAATGCAATTTCTTGTCTCTCTGTTGGTGTTGATTGTGAAGATCGTTAAATTTGGAGCGATGGATAGTTTTTTTCTTGACTGAATGGTTGAGTTAAGTTGGATTGAATTTAGCTGAGTTGAATTGAATCTGACTGGGTTGAATTCAATTTGGTTAAGCTGAATTAATTCTGGTTGAGTTGGATTGAATTTAGTTGTGTTGGATTGGATTAGATTGAGTTAGATACGTGTAAAAACTTTGTTCTCTTATTTGTCATATGCATGTAAACACTCATGAGACAATGCAATTTATAGGATTGAAATGAGTCGTATAAATCATCAAAGTAATAGTACCATTACAACTACAGTAGTCGAAGAACCCATCAATACAACGGTTAGTTTCATCATAACTTTTGTTTCTAAATTAAATTCTAAGTTTCCAGTGTTTGTGGAATCAGTATACTGTTTGCATTTTTTTTTAAATTTTTGTAAGACTGTAAGAATGGGGATAAGATTGAAGGAATATGTAAGTAATTCTGTTCATGATATGTTATAAATATATTTACATAATTATAGTTTTTTGCATTGATATAATTATAGTTTATAATTTTAGAGACAGTACTATTTGGTGGTGCAATGTCTTTTTATTTTCCACTATTTTTGCTGTCTTTTTTTTCTTTTGCTGCATTAAAGTTGTGGTTAGATTACAAGTTACTATAGTAAGTAATTAAGCATCACTCAAAAGATTTGCATTATTTTTCAAAAGATTGAAATTTGTGCTTCTCGGGTCTAAATAGTTTGAAACAGCTGATGGTACAGTTAAACGAATGCGAGTATTGAAGTTCTTATTAGATTGTGATTTATTATTTGATCTTTGCTAGGTTATGTTATTGTAGAACACTTTATAATTTTTACTATGAAATAATTGAGTACTGTGTTTTATACTTTTTTATCATTTTTATGACACACATTTATTTTAGATTGCAGTGCAACACCTTACTCTCTCTCCAGAATTGTCACGTGAACCACGGTAAGTCATTTTTCTGTCTCAAAAGATTAGTAGGCTTCAAAAATGAACTTTGAGATCAAATTCAACTAATAGATAAAAGGTAATTTAATCAATTTCATTGCCATATGCTTTTAATTTCAAGCATATCTACAACACGAACGTAATTCTTTATTGTTGAAAATAATTTATCTTTATAGCGTGCGTTGGTCTGCAGATACAATAGATAATGAATTCTTGGGTAGGTATAAATCGAAATGTTGTTGTATTTACAAGAAACCAAAGAAATGGAATGAAAGTTCTGACAGCGATTCTGATTCTGTATGTTTCTTTCACATTTGCTTACTTACTGTAAGGCTGTTTAAATTTATAGTATCATTTGTAAGAACGATTATTTTTGGTGGTTGAGTGATTATTATAATTAAAATTATTTATGCATCTCTCTCTCAAATGCTCAGTAAATGTACGAATAGCATTTATTGAAAACGATATTTGTTTTTAATTTCTCTTTGCATTTCAATATACTAATCTCTTTCAAAATTCTCATCGCAGAATATTTTGTTAATAGAGCCACACTAAAAATTGATATTGAAAAAACTTTTTCCAAAATAAATAAATAATATTTTGTGAAAGATATATATATATATATATATGTATTATGAGTGCATATGTTTGAACAACACAAATGTTTGATATTTTAGGATTGTGAAACGGAACATTGTCGAGGGCATGTTGAGCAACGTTTTCATCCATTAGGTGGTGGTGATGGAGGAAAATAAATTGGTTTTTAAAAAGGAATTTTTCTATTCCAGAATGGGGTCACATCTTATTAATTTACAAATTCTTTTTCGGACTTAAATTTAATGTTAGTTAAGAGAAATTATAGCAGTTCAACTATAAAAGTTTCATAGAACCGGGAAAACGAACAAAAAATATTTTTTGATTTGTGAGGACGTGATTTGGAATTACTGCTTAAGGTGTGAGATGAAATTGGGAGTATGATTAGCCTTTGAAAAGTGATATATCAAATGCTGTGTCAGAAATTATTTTAATGACTACTTTAAGGAACTATTGATATAGCTGTTGTAAAAAAATAGAGCGAAGGATGAGAGTTAAAAAAAATAGCTGTTTGAAATTTCTCTAACTGTGGTTCACTTGTATCTAATGTATATCATCCCTTTAATACCATTTATTCTGAGAATGATTCAAAAATTATACAAAATCAGATCTTTAAATTGCTGTTCGTAATAATCTATAAAATTTTTGATTGCTTTTTAGTTTAACTATAAATTGTTTGGTTATTAAAAAAACTTTCTACTACTTCTAGTATGGTAATGATGAAATTTATGTTGTGTAAATCGTTTTTATTTGAAAACACTCTTCTTTTTGTGCTAATATAAATTTAACAAATATTTCATTATTTAACGTCAAATATTTCATGTAATATTTTAATGCAAATCATTATGTTGATGAAATGATAAGGATTTTCTTTTTTAACTTTTTTCTCCTTCTCTTTGATTCTCTCTTCCTTTGTTATCCTTATTTTCTTATTTTTAAATTACTGTAAAGGAAAGTGAAATGTTTAATGCATGAAATATGCATTTATATAGTCATAAAAGAAAATGATAAAAATCCGAAGAGTAATGAATTAAAATTAGCAAATAATAGTGAGTGGTAAATCTTACTTTCCTAATTATAAAGCTTAAAAAAAAATATCAGTAAATTTTCTTCGCAACAAAGTGCAAATGAAATGGCTGAAAGGAATGATTCAAAAATTAAATTCGTTTCTTTTTTTCCTTTCTCATTACAATAAATTTTATGATTTCATTTTATAAAACTGAAAAAAGCAATCAAAAGATTGTAGAGATCATATATTATATTATTTTATCATATATTTTATATATATATTTTTATTTTTCTTATCATATATTTTATTGTTTTATTTTTATATTGTCTGATTCGAATGTGAATTTTTTTTTAGTTTTAACTCTCATATAAAATCTGTAAGAAGTAAACATTTTCTTTCATGATAAATATTAGGTGCGATTTTAATTATGAAATTATTTGAATTTTGAAATGAATTATATATGACAAGAACTATTTTCTTAATGATTTTAGAATTTTGAAATGTTTAACTGAATTTTAAAATTTTTTGTTGCATAAATTTCTATGTTTTTTGTAAATTTTCCATTTTTTTAATAATTTTTCTGAATGTTTTTTGTAAATTTTTATAGAATTTTATAAAACCAATAAGCAATGCAATACTAAACATTTTCTTTTTTTTTTTTTTTTTTTTTTAATACAGATGCAAATGTATTTACTATTAATTTGATAATTTATCATTCTTTTTTATCAATGAATGTGAAATTTTCACTAAGCAACTCAACTGTATTATTATTATTAAAATTGCAATAATATTGTTGTAAACAAAAAAAAAATAATTTGCTAAGCAAAATTATGCTTTTTTTTACATGTAAACAATATATATATCAAAATGCAAGTATATAACAAGTTGTAACTTATAAATGGAAGTATGTAGCAAGTTACTGTAACTTGCAAAATACAGTTTCCAGGTTGCAACAAAACATAAACAACAATCAAATGAAAACATAACATCGATAACAAACAACGCTAATTTGACATTTTCATTTCTCTATCAATAGGTGACACATATACAAGTAACAACCTTTTCTTTTTCATATGATTTATTTATAAAAATATTTCAAAGTATATTTTTTTTTATTTTATACTTTATTCATAAACATTTAATAATCAACATTATCTTAGCTATTTATGAGCAGTAGTCTAATATAGCTTAATTAAGCTTTTGCTTATATAATAAAATGATAGAAAAAATTTTCATCATTCTTCTAATATCACACATATGTATTTGGAAAAAATATCAATTTCAAATGTTTGAAAAAATTTTTAGTGAAATTTTACCATAAAGGATGAATAGTTAATTCGTTGCTATTTTGCAAAAGCCTTAACTTGCATTATGCAGTCATTACTAATATTATGATTGTATAATAAAACCAAATTTTTTATTTTATTTCATTATCATTTTAATATGCTATTTAAAGATATTTTTTTTTATAAAAAAGTAAAAAAAAAAGTTTTTTCTCTAAAAAATGAAATGTTATCATAATTGCTATTTTTTTTAAATACAAATAATAATAATAATAATAATAATAATGGTAGAAATATTATCACAAATATGACAGTGATATAAAATGAATGAATATGACAGTTTCTAGAGAAAAATCTTAACAATGTCTAGCATTAATGTGCTATACATTTAATTTATAATTGATTTAGTATTAATTCAGAAATTTAATTTATCATTGATGCCATTAAAAAAAGTGCTAAAATAAGAATGAAATAGTTGTCGTTTTTTATACATCTAACAAATTCAAATTTTATTTCATTCTAATTTCATTCAATTATTAAATTCCACTTTTTATTTTGTGCATAATAAAATACGTGAAAAAAGGTACAATAATAATAATAATAACATTCGATTATTAAACCGTGTTATTTTATTACATAATAAGAAAATATATGCATAAAAAAATACATTTATGTTTATTTATTTATAAATTTTTGTTTGTTTTATTTGAAATTAATGAAATGTCACGTGAAATGATCGCTGTAATTGAGGATTAGCATTGATGGAATTAAATTGAATTTCACCATTTTCCTGTTTGATATGTCGATTCTTCCTTATATGAGTATGCTTGTAGCATAAATAAATTTGTGTAATAATAAAACAAGAAATAAACATTAGTAGACCACAGGTCATAAACATGACCACTGCAATAATAATTGATTCAATATCAATACCTATGGAAGTTAATGGTAGTCTTGAATTCATTTCTGAAAAAAAAGCAATGAAATAAAGTGATTTAGCAATTAAAATTCGTTTTTCTTTTCTTTTTTTATTTACTGATTATTTCTATTAATGAAAAAAAAATTTTTTTTTTCTTTTAAAGTTAAGTATAACAATATTATAGTTTAGTTTATACTTATAAATAGTCTTCATTTGTTAATTACTTGTATTAATGCAAAAGGAAGAAAAATCTTTTTTTAAATTAAGTACAAAAATATTATAGTTTAGCTTATATTTACAAATAATTAATATTTCCGTAATTCAAAAAAAAGAAGGAAGAAATTTTAGATGAAGTTTTAGCAAATATTTATTTTTGGAAATTTATTCTAATACTTAAATATGCATTTTGAGATTGTAAAATTATAATCCAATAAATGAAAAATTATAAAACTATATGTATAAATTGTAGTTTATTTAATATCATATTGCACATAACCTATATAATTAAGGTAATTTTTTTGTTCTTACGTAAAATAATTTCATAAAACTTACTTACGTAAGAAAAGCGTCAAACCACAATTTGTGCAATAAATACTTTTATGTTTGAGAAGAAATGAGCTGCTGAAAATGTCGTGAAATTTGATGCTTTTTGTATAGCAAAAAAAAAGGAAAACTGGTAGTCAACTAATCTCTAATTTTTTTTTTTTTTTTCCACTAATTCATCAAACAAAGCTGTTTGAAAAGAATTTATTTATTTATTTCTGTTATTTTTGTCTATTCCTTAAAAAAGTCATTGATATCATAACAAACGATATGCTAATTTCATTGATCAGATTTAAATATAGAAAAAAAATTAGTGAAATTCAAAAAAATAGACAAAGAAAAAGGGGTAAAATAACTGAATTATTTAAAGAATATGATTTATAATTTAAACACTGTAATTTAAACAATTTTCAAACAATTTATTGCAGTGTATCATTATGCTATCAAAATATTTTGATATGAATTTACTTGAGTGGTTTCTAAAATGCTTAATCTGATTTCATTTTAAATAAATTGTTTCAAAAAATAGTAAATTCAAAAACAGCATTCTAAATTGGCATAAAATAAATGACAATATATACTGAAGATAAATTATGATATTTGATATTAATCAAATATATCAGTGAATAGTTGAAACGATTCATTATAGATTTGATAGTGTATCAATGTTATTTTAAAATACAAAATTTGAACATAATATATATGATTTAAATTTGAAATTTAACAAGCTAAAAATATGTTTTGATCGAATATAGTTTTGTTATAATTTTAGCAATAAATCAAATCAATTAATTAAATACACTTGCGTCATTTCACATGTGTGAAAGCAAGAAAAAAAAATAGTAAAATGATAATTTTTTTGATTAATGAAATGAAAATGACGAAAAATATAAGAAAATAGAAAATGAAAAGGTAATCAAATTTTTTTTTGGATTTCAGTAACATGTCATTTTATGCCAAAATCATTAAGCCAGATTAATTTTTTTTTTTTTCAGTATAATAAATTTGCATTAGGCATTGTGAAATGATAATGTCATTGTAATTAGCATTTGAATTAATGCTCTTATTGACAAAAAAGAAAAAAAAAAGTTAATTCAATGAATATTCCAATAATTATTATAAAAAATGTCAGAAAAAAAAGTGGAAGAAAATTGGAGAAGTTAAAATGGGTTTGTTCTGTTATCACTGGAATGTCATATTATTTACTGTAATGAGTTTCAAATTAAGTTGAAATGATTTAAAATTTTTATTTTTGGACGCTTCTTAAACGAATTTTTTGCATGAAATATTGAGTATTATACGTTGATTAAAATTATTATACAATAAAATTAAATGATGCAATTTAGTCAGTTCAAAAAAGGATTTTGTGCGTTTTATTACATATTTCAAACGATTATGACATTTCAT